CCCCAAAACCCCAAAACCCCAAAACCCCAAAACCCCATTCCAAGTAAAGTAAAATGAAATTTTACTTCTTAATCAATGTATTTTTCAGCAACCTGTTTTTGTCTTGGCTATGTACAATAAGAGTGTTCTTCTCGTCCTTTCGGTTAACCACAGTCTCCATATGTTTATCAGAGTCCTCAGGAGGATTCTTGACTTCACTTCTGCCTGAATCTGGAGGCTGATGGTTAATATTCTCCTTGTTTGCTTTAATATCATTCTTATTTTTGGCAGAATTCTCAGAGCGGCTAGAATCATTCCTTTCGCTATCATTCTGGCCAATTAGCCTCCGATTTTCTGAATTTTGACGATTAGATGCTTGACTAGCATTTTGCTGTGAGTTATTATTCGCAGCAATGTTTGGGTTCATTCGCCAATACACTCCATCTCCTATTGGATGGCCAGAAGCCCATGAGACTGGGAAAAACCACAATAACTTATTTCAGCCGAACACTTGCTCCCAATTCTCTCTTGGCGAGAGTGCAAATGGAGATTCGAATTGCTCACCCTTCTTTTCAAGGAACTCAATCGTTGTCTTATTGCTGAATATTAATTCTATGTGGAATCTCAAGAAATTAGTCATCAAATATGAAGCTGCTCCAGTGATTACCCATCCAAAAAGAATTATTGCTAGGGATAAGAACCCAGTATAGCTCCTAGTCTCTCTATTAAATTTCTCATACTCCATAGGCAATCGGTAGTAAAGATCGTAGGTTAATATCGGAAATGATAGGTATGAGCTTAGTAAGACATATATCAAGAGCAACACAAATTGCTTTCTATTCCAAAACCCTATACAATTATTAACCCATGGACAATGATGGTCCATATTAAGCACTCATCTGTTACATGTGGAGCAATGATGGCATCTTTCCGGCTTGAACACATTGCACATAAGTCAGTACCTCTTCCTTTTGGACTCATGATCTCCGAAATGAAAGCCCCAAAAAGTTGGAACTTGGCCAGGATCACCCATGATTGTCTGCCAAAGGCACCATCCAAGCATGACTCACACAAAATGGTAGATTCCAAGTAAGATCTTGCTTATATTCGAGTGCATGAATCTTGGCATGAGCACACAGACCACCACAGAATAATATACCACAAATATAGCGAGGAAAACCAGCATGATGAATAAATTCCCCACGAATCTATCAGCCTTTACAGGAAGAGTTCTTGGCATTTTCAAATTTTAAATAATTACAATAATCTGATATTAAAGAGGGGTTTTGGGGTTTTGGGGTTTTGGGGTTTTGGGGTTTTGGGG